GCTCCTGCAGCTCTTTTTCTACAAAATGACCCCTGGGGCCATGGATCTCCTGACTTCCTTCAACCAATCACCATGCCATCTCCAAAGAGTCTTCTGGAAAATGAGCACCCACACACCCCATCTGTGTCCAGCTGAAACCAGTGAGCTAATTAATAGGCCTGATAGAATGACCTTGGTGGACTAATGGTTGGGGACGAGAACAACACCTGTTAGCTTGAACAGAACAGAGAAAAAAAATCTGGCAAGTAGAATTTTGCTCAGACATGGCACTTTCCCTTGAAAGCCAGTCACACACTCTCAGCCTAACCTACCTCATAGGGTTGTTGTATGGATAAAATTGAGGAGAGAACAACGTAAGCCACTTTGGATCACTATTTTGGAGAAGGGCGGGCATACAAAGAAGTAAAATTAAAATAAACATTTTAAATCAGATTCTTTCAGGCTCCTAGAAAATCCAGAAGAGAACAAGTTCTTAGTCCTAGTTGTTTCTCATAGCTTCTCTATTAGAAATTATTTGCAAAATGATTGTTAACCAGTCATGTTTAGGACTTTCATATCCAGCAACTTTTAATATGTAAGTTGAACACATGTTAAAACTCTGTTACTGAAACCTACTGATATGATTAGCTGCCTTGAGTTCCTACAGGGAAAAAGGCAGGATGAATATTTTCCAAATGACTTAATTAATCAATTAGATTTGGTTAGGCTGTAGCCAGTGTTACTTCTTTGTTGCTGATGTAAATGTTTTAGCTCTTCAGTTTGTGGGTCCTTCTTCACCCTCTGCTTGCCACAACTGCCATTTTTTTTAAATAGGTCAGATATCCTGGCAGATATGTTTAGAAACATAGTGTTGTTTAGAAAGGAAGTACTTCTTCACCCAAAGAGTGATTAACACATGGAATTCACTGCCACAGAAGGTGGTGGTGGTGGTTACAAGCATGGGCAGCTTCAAGAGGAAATTAGATAAGCATACGGAGCAGAGGTCCATCAGTGGCTATTAGCCACAAGGTATAGATAGGGACTCTCAGTCTGGGGCAAGTGATGCTCTGTATTCTTGGTGCTTGGGGGGGGGCAACAGTGGGAGGGCTTCTTGTGTCCTGGCCCCACTGCTGGACCTCCTGATGGCACCTGGTATTTTTGGCCACTGTATGACAGAGTGTTGGACTAGATGGGCCATTGGCCTGATCCAACATTGGCTTCTCTTATGTTCTTATGTTCATGCAGATTGCTCAAAAGACATGTTGTACATTTTCAAAAAACCTCTGAAAGGCCCAAAGAATTAACCTAAGATAGATTCCTGAAGTGATTGCTCTTAATTGAGAGCCACTGGGATATAGTGGTAAGAGTGACAAAGTAGGATCTGGGATACGGAGGTTTGTATCACCACTTTGCCATGACGGCTCAGTGGTTTAGCCCTGTCCCTGAACTTACATTCTACACTACACTTGAGTTCACCCCTGTAATTATCTCAGGGTATTTTTGGTTTCCACATTACATTGAGGTCACCGGGTTTTGCCCCACACTTGTCCCAGGATAAAGGGATGTTGTTATAACCAGGGATAAATGCAAGGTATTGTGTCGCAAGTAGAACTCTGATAAAACCAGGGATGAGATCCAAGTGTGGAAAGGATCTGAGTCACCTTGTGGTGGCAGCGAGTCCTTTCCGCATTTGCCTGCTATTCCAGATGTTCTCAGTATTGGAGTCAAGGCAAACAGCATCCAAATAACCCAGGGAAACAGCAGGCTGAAACCAGGCTGACCATTGAAGGGAGGTATTGTAATGGAGAATGGGGAAAAAAACAGGAATGAAAAGAAGATTGAAATCCGTTTTAGTACAGAAGGGGGAGGCTGGATTAAAAAGAAGGTTAAATTCAGTTTTAGTGCAGAATTGCTTGGAGGACACCACGGTGAACATGGATTAGAAGGCGAGTGCAGAAAGGGCCCCAGAAGAAAGGGAAGAGGAGCATAACACATTAGCCAATAGAAAGAAAGGGAGGTTGTTGTAGTAAAGATAGAGTAGAAGTGGGGAGAACAATATCGTAAGCCACTTTAAGCCCCCGTTGTGGAGAATAGTAGGGTATAAATAGGGCTGTTAACTCTCACCTAGAGAATACCTGGAGTTTTTTGGGGTGGAGCCTAGGAAGGGCTGGGTTTGGGGCATAATGCCATAAAATTCACCTTCCAAAGCAGCTATTTTCTCCAGAGGATCTGATCTATATTTTCTGGAGAGCAACTGTCATCATGGGAGATCTCCACCCCCCACCTGGAGGTAAATTAATTAATGAAGAGAAGAAGAAGAAGAGATTGGATTTATACTCCACCCTTCACAACCCAAAGGTGTCTCGGAGTGGCTTACAAACTCCTTTCCCTTCCCCTCCCCACAACAGACACCCTGTGAGGTAGGTGGGGCTGAGAGAGCTCTGACAGAAACGGCTCTTTTTTAAAGAACAGCTGCTCCAGAACTATGGCCTGCCCAAGGTCATCCAGCCAGGTACAAGTGGAGGAGTGGGGAATCAAACCTAGTTCTCCCAGATTAGAGTCCGTGCACTTAACCACTACACCAAACTGATTTTAATCCTTTCTGGAGTTTCTGTGGGTGCATAGGGGGATGGGAGGAATGATATTTACCAATTGCACAGGTGCCCAAAATACCTCCCAAAATGCTTTCCCTAAGATATGCCCCCTCCGAATAGCTTGGGGGAGGATCAGAGGAGGTCAAAATCATCCCCCCTGCCACCTATGGAACTTCTAGACAGGATACAAGGCAATGCTTCCTTTTTTCTTTCTTGAATCTGTAACTTGCTTTCAGCCATTAGTATGGAGAAAACGGAAGTAAACACAAAAGGAAACTAATATAGGCTATTTTATGAGGTCAGGATTTTTGTTTTTTTAAGTGGATGGGAAAGAAGAGCAAAGGTCTTTCCCCATTATAAGGGCACAATCACAAAAGAGAGTAAAAGGCTTTCCCTCAGGTTACATTTGTGCCCCTCTTAGCATGCCTCCTCCTTCAGCCAGGCCTCATTCTAATCACTGTGTGCACTGCTAGCTTACATCATACAACACTGCTTGCTCTTCATTATCGCTGCTGAGTGACAGTGTGGCTAATCTCCTGTCACCTATTTTAAGATAACTGTGCTGTTGAGCAACAGATATATGGAAGAAAAGGCAGGCTTCATTTGGAGTTATAAAATAAGGCCATGTTTTTAGAATCCAAACAACTCCTGGCTGGAAAACTATCAGATAAGTGTAGATAGTGTTGTTTTCTGGAAAGCTTAAAACAGCAGTGTCTTTTTAGCTCTTATTTCAGTGCATACATCTTTCTGACTGTGTACAGTTTATTCCAGGCATCAGCAGCATGTTTTGGGCTAACACCATGAGGGACTAAGGAAGTTTTTCAGCCTTCAACTTAATATTGTAATAATGATGAAAATTTATTTCCTTGGTTGTCATGGTTGTTTAGTACTATGCCAGTAGAAGTATTTGATACATGGCCATCTGCTTGCTTCTTGTAAATTCCATGGTAGCCATAATTTCAGTGGCTTGGCGAAAGGTAAGAGACATTCTTAAAATATGGTTTTGAGCAGATGACATTGTTTCAGGCAGGGATTTTTTTGTAGAAAAAGCCCAGCAGGAACTCATTAGCATAATAGGCCACATGCAACAGCAGAACCTCATTAGCATATTAGGCTACACCCCATGACAGTGCAACTCATTAGCATTTTAGGCCACACCCCCATGCCTTCGGTGGCTTGTCCGGGCAAGCCCCCCATTGAAGGGAAGGGAAGGCAGTTTAAACTGCCTTTCCTTGGCTTGCCTGGGTGCTCTGCAGCTGCGGGGCGCCCGGGCAAGCTGGCCCTTGGAGGGAAGGGAAGCCAGCCCTTGGGCAAGCCAGGGAAGGCATGGGGAGGCATTTAAATGCCTCCCCAAGCCTTCCAGGGCCCCCCCTGGCCCGCCCACCTTGGAGTCGCCAGGGGGAGGTCGCTCTCCAAGCCTTCCCTCTGTAGCCTGGCATGCAGAGGTTTTGGCTGTAGTGGGTGTGGCCAACTGAAGCCAGCCGGAACTCCGTTCCTGTGCGTTCCTACCCCAAAATAGCCCTGGTTTCAGGCATTGTTTTTAAAAGGGTCTGACATAACTCAGGACCACAATCCCCAGTGAGCTTTGATGGTTTGGGAGAAACACAGATCAACAAATTGTTCTAGTTTATTTCTCAAGTATGCTAATAAAAGGCTCTCATTCCTCTTTGTTCCCCACAAATGGTGGAAGGCAGACATGGGGAGCAACTAGACATTACAAACTGCATGAGTTCACCATGGGGACTTGCAGCTATACTGTAGCTGCTAGTTCCTGGTGACAAAAAATGCAGCAGGGCCTGATTCAGATTGGGACTGCTGTGATATCTAAATATTACCGGTCATACAGAGAGTTGCCAGCTCTGGTTTAGAAATTCCTGGAAGGACCACAATGGGGTATAAAGCCATAGAGTCCACCCTCCAAAGCAGCTATTTTCTTCAGGGGAACTGATCTCTATAGTCTGGAGATCAGTTGTAACTTCGGGAGATCTCCAGGCTCCACCTGTAGATGTACAAAATAATAATTAAGCAATATAAGGGCTGTGGTGGCTCAAGTGGTTAAGACACTGAACTGCAGACTGGAAGGTTGGTAGTTCAGCAGTTCAAGACCTGAGTGCTGCAAGACGGAGTGAGCTCCCGTCTCTGGTCCCAGCTCCTGCCAACCTAGCAGTTCGAAAGCAAGAAATTGCAAGTAGATAAATAGATACCGCTTCGGTGGGAAGGTAACAGTGTTCCGTGCACCTTGGTGTCTAGTCATGCCAGCCACATGACCATGGAAATGTCTTCAGACAGCGCTGGCTCTTCAGCTTGGAAACGGAGATGAGCTCTGCATGCCTAGAGTCGGATTTGACTTACCTTTACCTAATTAAACAATACTGTTTTGTGGCTCTCTTGCAAGTTCTAATACTCCCCTCTTTTTTCCCATGGCAGGTAACTGAAAATGTCAGACACCGAGGAAATCATTGAGGAATATGAAGAGTAAGTGTTTGGAGCCCAATTCCCCCCCCCTTTGTTTTCCAGATCCATAAGTGTGCTAGTCAGGTGGTTGCTTTTTGTTCACTCATAATGATGGCAGTGGTTGTATGGTGACTCAGATTTCCCATTCATATCTTTATGGTCCAGGGATGAAACAAGTCATCATGACATGGAATTGTTCTGAATATTTGAATATTTATTAATAGCAGATCACCTGAGATGCTTTGGGAGCCCTGAAGAAAGCAGTGCTCAAAGCTTCTGTCACCAAAAGAAACTCACCATGGGCGATTCTGCACTAGCTTTTCCCTCTGTTGTTTTACCAAATGTGCTGCTCAAAACTACATTCAAATACCCTGGTGCAATGCCATACTGACTGTAAACTCACCCTTGAATGACCATAAATCTATGCAGAAGGTACCATAAACCCAATGATCAAAGAGAGTGAAAGTGGCATGCAGTGTAGAGGGTACCATAAAATCCAATGACCAAAGAAAGTCAAAGCAGCATGCATGCAGAGGGTAATTTCTGTTTCAATGTGAGTTTGGTGAACCATTGGAGGGAAAAGCCAATGCAGAATCGGCCCATGTCACCCTTCAGTAACCTGCATACCCTCCCTTTGAAAAGAGAGACCTGTGGCAAATTCAAAAGTTTTGCCAGTCAGATTAAACGTCCATCTAACCAGATGCCCATGGTTAGGCTATCATTTGAAGAGCTCCAATAAGAATCAGGTTGTATGAGTTCAAAGGGTAATGCAGTATGGCATGTGTCAGAACATTACCAGCTTTTTAATAGAAGATACTATCCCTGTAATGTATTAAATAAAGGTTGATTTTCGCTGTTATGGTGCATTTCTTCTTATCCATGCCTATTGCTGAAACAAATAAAAAGACGGAGCTCTTCCGCCAGGCTTTTGAGTAGGAGCCGCCACCATCTCTGTACCATCACCGTGCTGCCAATTTTGGCAATGCGAGCTGGCCCTGGAACTGAAGAACGGACATCGCACAGACTGATCAAGTAGAGCTAGTAGAATTTTGAAACATTGTATTGGAGACCCCATCTTGGATGTTGTTTTGTGAGCACCGATTTTAAATGTAAATGTAAATGTAATTGATTGTTTTATCTGGTTTTTATTGTCATGTATGGCAATTGCCTCCTGTCAGCCGCCCTGAGCCCATGTGGAAGGGCGGGATAGAAGTCAAATAAATAAATAAATAAATAAATAAATAAAAGAACAGTTTCTTGAAAGAAATATAATTCATGGGCGCCTCATGGAAGTGGGAAGTGCTATGGTGACCCCGTAAGTTTTTCAAGGCAAAGGACAAATTAAAGATATTTGCCATTGCCAGCCTCTAGCATAGCAACTCTTGATTTCCTTGGTGGTCTCTCACTCAACTCCTAACAAGGATCAAAGCTTGCTTAGCTTCAGAGGTCTAATGAGCTCGGATTAGCCTGGGCCAGCTAAATCAGTACAGGGTACCTCAAATGCAGGTCTATATGCAGAGGTCATTTCCTGCAGGAGCGCACAGGAGCAGAGCTCCAGCAGTAAAGAGCCCAGGAGGCGGGCACATGCAACAAGCCCCACCTCCTGCACCCAGCAGCCCTCAGTCAGATCAAGAAGCAGCCAGGTAAGCTGCAGAGCCCCCCCTGTCCAAAACAGTCCAGTGGCACCTTTAAGACCAAGTTTTATTCAGGTACAAGCTCTCCCTCCTCTGCGAGGACAGATCTGCACGTTCCCCCCTCCCCTTCTGATAGCTAGCAATCCAAAACAGTCCAGTGGAGCCTGAGCGGTGGGTGTTGCCTTCTGACACACATCCGGTGATGTCAGGGTGTGTGGCATATGCAAATAAGTTATGCCAATGAGTTATGCTAATGAGCTACTGCACCACTTTTTCTATGAAATGACCCCTGCCTATATGGAAATAGCCACATTGCTTGTCCCACCATCTTAAGGAGAGGCTTTTGGCTTTTAGATGAGGAATGCTACTTGAGAGTTTATTTCAGGGGATGGGCAGGTTTCAGTGGAAGGCAAGACTCATATCAGAGGTCAATTACCCACACTTGGATATATTTAAGTTTAAATTTTATTCATTTATTTGAAACATCTATAGGCCCATCTCAAACGACTGGAATCCAGTGTTGTAACAAGAATAACAGTAGGCTTTATCATCACAAATAAAAGAAATCAACAATAAAGGAAGAATTACATAAACATTAAAACAAAACCAATCAAGCAGCCAGAAAAAATATGACTAATAACATACTCACAATTACCCAAGAAAAGTTTGGACAACACAAGTCCTTAGAACTTATCCTATCATTAAGAAACCCCAACAGCAATATAGGTTAGTGGTCACTCCCTTAAGACAGGCATACTGCCTGAGAGAAATCTCCTGCAGAGGTAACACTAGCATTTCATTTATACAGAGTCAAAGCCCACCAGAAGCTTGTATCGGGACACCTAATACACCTAAAACACATGGTCACTGAATGATGTGAAGTAGGCAACGTGTGGATTTTCCCTGCAAGTAGAGCTTCCAATTTCCACTCATACAAACTGGTATCATAGAAAATTACAGTTCTGGTTCATGTGAATGGAAGCTGTACCCACATAGAAAATCCATGCTGTATTGTATTCACATGATATGGCAACTTCGTGTATCATGTTTTTGAAATGTGCAGCTAATGGGATCCTGCTCCTCATGAACAGAATGCCAGCACAAAATCTACAGAGGGCTAGAGAAAAACAAGTTTCTCAAACCGGGGGGAAAGGGGGGGGGGGAGGGGGGGAGAATGGAATATAGGGATTTGTACCACTTCTTCTGTCTTCTTTTTCCAGGTTCTAGTTAGCAACAGGTAGAACACAGCCCCTACTCAGGTTATGACAAGGATGAAGAGCACCCATTATAAAATTCTAGCATAATAAGCCCTTGTGTTGTAAAGATTTTGGGAACAGGACGAAATATACATACAGTTATCCAAGAACAATAGACTGTTTTGAGAGCTTAAGCTGCTTGTATCTTGGTTATGTTTGCAATTCTGGAAATTCTTAATACCTATTTTGATGCCCTGCTGACACTCACTCATCAGCTTCTCACATTACCTATTGTGTGACCCCAAAGATCTAGCTGATGCCATTAAGAAATATTCATTCATAGCCCGCCTTGTAATCCAGCCATGGCCTCCCATTTTTATCAACACCCGTTCTTTCCAGTAATTTGAGCGGCATCTCCAGATGATGCATCAGATGTAGCTAAAGTAATTAATTAACATGTTAAATAGATTTCATGCTACTTCAAGTTTAATGGTTGTCCCCCCCCAAATAAACTGACAATAAATCTGCATGTTAATTAAATGGCTCTTATCCCAGCATTCAGCAGTGGAAAACGAGTGCCATCTGAATCTGCTAGGGCTGAGGTCTCCAGAATAGCACCCATGAACACCGTGATGCCCACCAACAGTGTTAAGTCGTGCGCTTAACAAAGAAGTCGGAGAGTGATTCAGCAAGAATGCGGTTTATTCTTCAGCTCTGTTACTTCTCCGGTACGGTACAACGATCGCCAGCCAGAACCCATCATTCGAACCAACACATATACTGGCTGCTCTATATTTAAACACTCCCGGCTAATGTAGCCACACCCCCTGTACAATAAGGCAACCTATGAGGTTGAAGCAATAACAACCAATCACAAGCGATCCCGCTCTGCACGGTGATTGGCAGACACTTTCTGGGCTAGGGCTCCTATTGGTTACACTAGGATCCTAGCCCAGGATGAAGCTCAACATGGCATCTCAATCAGGCGATTCACACATCAGTATTTACAATCAAGTCTCAATGGCACAGTTCACATAGTAGTTATATACAATGCAATACATAACACTAAGGCCCATTGAGGAGATATCTACAACCACTAAAAAGCTTTACCATTCCTTTTGCCATGCAGGAGAAGGCTGAGAGGCAAACTACACATGTTTCTTTACTCATTTACGCTAGTTTTCCTGTGTTCCTTGAAGCCATACAACAGCTGTGGGGAATGGCTTCTTAACTCCCCCCCCCCAAAAAAAACCCCCAAGGATAACAATGCCCTGTGGGGAGGAAGTGTTATGTCTTTATTGAGGGAAATTAACAGTGCTGGAGGCACTAGTGGTCATAAGGACTGTGTTTATTGGAACATAACTGCCAACTAACAGAACAGGCCACAACTAGGCCTCAGTAAGTCTAACTCCATCCCCAAATCTCCAAGTGCTCCCCAACCTAGATCTGGCAAACTCTACCCCTCCCATCTCCCACCAGTAGCTAGAGGGGACATGGCAACCCTAAGTCTCTATCATCTCATTTGCTTTGGGTTGTATGGCTGTACATACAATTCTCATTCCTTATGTTTTCTCTACTCCATTCTTCTAAATCCCGCTGCTTTTTATGTGTTATGCATATGGAGTGCGTGTTTTATGCACACAATTTCACCCAGAGATAGTGCAATCAAATTGAATGAAAATGCTGTCATGAATCTGCCCTCCTGGCTCTTATCACATGAACACTCACTGAGGGGAAGTACTGAGAGCTATGCTACGGTTTCTTTTGTATCAGATGCAGTTTGAAGTGGTTGTAATAATCTGGTTTAAAGTGGTTGTTATATTCACCATTGACTATCATTACTTACAGTTCCAGCTTGCCTTACAATAAGAGCAACAAGTCAGGAGAAAAATAAATTGCATAAGCTTATAAAGAATGTCTCTCTGTGCATGTAGTTTCTTACTGACAACTGTCAGAGTAAGTTATTGGGGCAAAGGAGAGGACATGCATTGCTGGAGCTCTGGAATATCTTCGTAAATTGCAGCCAAGTGTGGCCCACTTCAGATTGGGATCATGGTATAAGGAGCATGGACAGAGGGTGTAACCCTGTTCTCTCACACTATCATCCCAGTGTGGAATGTCTCTGAGGAGCCACTGTTTATTTATTTGGACATTTATACTCTTTCCGCTCAGTCACGGGGAGTTGTTGGTACGCTTGGGCCAGGTCGAGTTTGGCGAATACCTTCCCTCCTCCCAGTGATGCCAGTACGTGGCTAATGACTGGTACAGGGTACGAATGCTGCTGCAAGGCTTTGTTAATCGTGCACTTGTAGTCAGCGCAAATTCGTATTGACCCATCGGGTTTAATTGGAGTAACAATGGGGGTTTCCCATTTACTACAAGGAACTGGTTCCAACACCCCTTGTTCAAGTAGCTTATCGAGTTCAGCCTCGATCTTTGCCTTGAACGGAATGGGCACTTTCCTGTATTTTAGGCGTATAGGGCGTATAGCAGGATCCAACTCAAAAGACACTGGGGGACCATTATACTTTCCCAATCCGCCCCCAAACACTTCAGGAAATTCAGCATATAATACAGCCCATTTATTTTCCACAACGTTATTAACTCCCACAACAGCAATACCCAGAGGCTCAAACCAGTCCAACCCGAGCAGGTTGGTACGGTTTCCCTCAGCGATCAAACATGAAAGCACAGCACCTTTCCCTTTGAAATTAACTGTGAACGTATCCCTCCCCGCCAGAGGGATTCGATTTCCCTGAAAATCGGACAATCGGATGTCCGCAGCTCGCAACCTCCGCCGACTTCGTGTTGGGAACAGCTTGTGCCACGTCTGCGTAGACAAAACGGTTACCGCCGACCCGGAATCCACTTCCATCTCACACGGTGCGCCGTCGAGATGGAGAACGACGTGGATCTTTTGTCGGCTCTCGGTGCTTAGGACGGTGGCTGTGGCTTCTGACGACAGGCTCCCTGTCATCTGGCGGGTGTCTTCTTTCGGTGCGGCTCGGGGACGTTGGTGCCGGCGGGGAGATGAAGCTGGTGAAGACTTGTTTGCGGCTCTGCATACCCGGGCAACATGCCCCCGCTTTCCGCACTTCCGGCAGTCGAGGTCTCTCGCCCAGCAACGCTCGCGCCGATGTTTCCCGCCGCAACCGTCGCATGCTGTACACTCGGCAGGCTTCCGTTGGGTCCGCTTGGACGTTCCCGCCTTCACTTTGCAGACGTCATCATCGGAGTCGCTGCTTGCGTCGTTAGCCCTCTGCTGGTGGACGCGTTGATCAGCTGTGGCGACCCGTTGTCTCACTTCCCTGGTTGACCTGTCAGCAGCTTCCGCGGCGACAGCCTCGGCATAGGCGATGGCCCACGTTAGTGTAGTTCTTGCGAACAAGCGTTGCTGCAGTCGCTCGTCTCTCAGACCACAAACGAGGCGATCTCGGAGGGCCTCCTCCACATTCGCGAAGTTGCAAGGCCGTGCTGCCTTGCGAAGAGCTGCAACGTACTCAGCTATGGACTCATTTGCGTTCTGGCCCCGCTTGTAAAAAGCGTGCCTGCAGGCGATTTCCGACGGCTGTGGAGAGAAATGTGATTTCAGCTTGTCTGTCAAGCTTTCAAAGGATACGGTTTTGAGGTCATCTGGTGCCACCAGTGACCGGGCGATGTCAAAAACGCTCTTTCCACACGAGCTGAGTAGAGTCGCCCTCTTCTTCTCCTCCGTCGTGATGTCATTCGCCTCCAGATGGAACTCAAACCTTGTGAGGTAAGAGTCCCAGTCTTCAGTAGTCGGGTCGAAGCATTCGAACTTCTGGCTGCTCGCGGCCATCGTTATGCGCACAGGCGGGGCCACCAGAGCGGGTGGAGCCTGTGGCTGGCCGGCCTCGGCGATTTCCTCATTGTCCGACATGGGGTCTGCTCTAGCGGGGCTGCCTACCCGCACTAGAATCCCATCCTCGTCGCCAATTGTTAAGTCGTGCGCTTAACAAAGAAGTCGGAGAGTGATTCAGCAAGAATGCGGTTTATTCTTCAGCTCTGTTACTTCTCCGGTACGGTACAACGATCGCCAGCCAGAACCCATCATTCGAACCAACACATACACTGGCTGCTCTATATTTAAACACTCCCGGCTAATGTAGCCACACCAAAGCATAAATAAATAAAATAAATAAATTCTTTCATAGCCCGCCTTGTAATGCAACCATGGCCTCCCATTTTTATCAACACCCATTCTTTCCAGTAATTTGAGCAGCATCTCCAGATGATGCATCAGATGAAGCTAAAGTAATTAATTAACATGTTAAATAGATTTCATGCTACTTCAAGTTTAATGGTTGTCCCCCCCCAAATAAACTGACAATAAATCTGCATGTTAATTAAATGGCTCTTATCCTAGCATTCAGCAGTGGAAAACGAGTGCCATCTGAATCTGCTAGGGCTGAGGTCTCCAGAATAGCACCCATGAACACCATGATGCCCACAAACAGCACCTACCAAGTGCTTTTAAAATGTTGGCAGGACCAAATGGACTTTTATCCATCAGGGCTTCTGATTGGCCATTGGAGATCTAATTGGCTGTGCAGTTTAAACAATAATTGTTTTGGCAGCAGCTACTACCACAGTAAAAGGATCTTCACAGTGTGACTGAAGATAAACTGTGTGTAAGCTAGAAAATGCTTTTAAACAATATGTTCATTTTAAGAAGTTTCTTGTTAAGCAGAGCTTTGGCCTGAAATATTAAAGATTTAGTACAGAGTTATGCATAACCTCACTCACTGATATTTTGTGGTTGGTGCCTCCTCTGGCAGCAGCTATTTTGTAGTTTGCTCCACCTCTAATGTCAGCCATTTTGTGGTTGGCTATACATCCAGCTGCAGCCATTTTGTGGCTGCACAACCACCACCTTTCATCAGAATTCCCAAGGTGTCTGCAGGCTTGAAAAGCTTGGGGACTCCTCTGCTGGGGAATGAAAACAGTGGTGGGTACATCACTGGAGTCCCAAACAATGAGGAAGGGCAATAACCGAAAGATAAATAACCAACAGTGCAGTCCTTAGCAAAGTTAGAACCTTTTAAGCTCAATTGATTTCAACTCTGCTTAGGACTGCACAGCAAATCACACAGTAACTATGACTGTGGGCAAGGGGAGACTACGCAGGGAGCCCAGTCCAATATGAAACAACACTTGCTAAGGCTTGACATGTATTTATAAGCAAGTACCAAGACACAAAAAGGAAGGACAGCTGTGAAGCACAGCATGGATTGGTTCTAATTTATTTTTAGTGTTGATAACTTTAATTATATGTTAATTGTATTTTAAATGTTTTATAAGGCTGTAAATTGCCCAGAGCCTGCCTGCAGGGTGGGTGATTCATAAATTCAATAAAAAATAAAATAATAAACTATACTTGCCACAGGCATTTCCTGAATAGCATGGAGAGTTTCCAGGCCACCATCACACCTTCCATCCTATGGTGATTTGGCATTGGCCTGAAAACTCTCCATGCTGTTTGCTGAGGCGTGTTTGACCTTGGAAGTAATTAGATGAATTGTTGGACGGATAGGAGAAAAGGTACAGGCTGTCAATCAGAGTAGAGAAGTGTGGATAGGTACACTTGTGGATCAGAACCTGCAGTACCACCTTTAAACAGGTGCTGTCAAAGCTCTGAAGCCAAAAGTGGTTTGAATGCCAGTACCCAGTTGTCCAGCGGTGGAAAACATAGAAAGGAAGGAAACGGACATGTACATATAGACTACAACATATACTACAGAGATTTAAACTTCTTTGTCTCTTCCCAGGGCGCATTGGGAATTATAGACTGTGGTCAGACGTGCATTTAGATCTGGCTCAGCTGCGAATGCCTGATGGATCTCAAGTGCATGATCAGACAGCAGCATCTGGGAAAGGTCCCACAGTCATTGGCACCCCATGCTGCCCCACCGCGAAAATGGAGTTAAAAGACACCGGGGAAAGTCCAGTTCTAACACTTGCCGACAGACCACAGATGGAGTTTCCCTAGTCTGATTGCTCAAGCACACTCTCAAGCCATCGGGAGGGTCTGCCCATTCCATCCTGACTTGGTGCCATTTCCCCCCCCCCTTGCTTAGCAGTATGTGCATAATCGCATACTCCTTGGGGAACCCTCCACATGGAGGTTCGATTCCTCGTTTATGCTCACGGGAAACAAAAGGCAACCCTCCCCTCACCTGAACAGGGCATCTGATCATGTAGTGACAGGCGTGCCTACAGCACAAAGGGATGTGTGGTTGTGAGACTATGAGTCAAATTCCACAGGGGGTAATAGGGGCACTTTCCCTCCACACCAGATGGCATGTCTGACCGCAGCCTTAGGTGAGTTAAGAATCTATGACAAAGAATGCTGAGCCTAACAGTACTGATTCAGTTGGATGCTGACTACACTGGCAATTTCTGCTGATTCCGCCTTCCTGCTGCAGACCCCCCCTCCCGTTGTGTCTTTCCTGTCTCCTAGGGGAGGCATTTGGTGGAGATCAGTGGGCTGCAGTGGGAGGAGGGAGACAGGATAGTTCTGTTTTGCCATTGGAAAATGTAGGCTGGTTCCAACTCATTATATCTACATGCTAAAGCTGTTCCAGCCCAAAGGGTTTTTCAACCACCATCACATTCTTGCCCAGCTCTGCATTTCTCTTAAAGTGAAGGTAAATGGGGCCTCCATTTGTTCATCAGCACTAAGGACTGGAGAGTCACTTAATTTGCGCCTGAACCAAGGATTAAAGGTGTCCAGAGTTGTCTTATTGTGAAGAATTACTGCTGGCTTGAGTAGCACTTTAAATGTTGCCCTCTGCTGGACAAGCAGTTGAGTAGAGGGAATGGATGCTAACACATCTTTCTCTAAAGTGTACATGGTGGGAGTCATGAGGAATTATGTTTGTTAAGTGCAATCTTTTTTTTTAACAGCCGTCATTCTAACTTGGGTGTTTTTCCTTTTGCTTTCCAGGGAGCAGGAAGGTAAGGGGACAAGAGCTATTCAATTCAAAACGTTTTTCTAAATAATCACTGTAGCTCTAACAGTACTCTCTCTTTCCCTCTCTTCTGGCTTGTCACAGAGGAATGTGTGGAAGAAGGTAAGATTTGTTTATTTAAAATGTTTATATCCTGCCCTTCCCTCAAAGGGCCCAAAACGGCTAATGATAAATATGTCAAGAGGTATCAATAATTGCATTATATTTTTAAAAAGCACTATTTAGTATGAAAACTGCAAACTATAACCACTAAAAATTCAGCCACCAGTCCAAACGAGCAAACAAAGGCAAAGACAGAACTGACAGTATATAGCAGCAAAATACTTTCCGAAATAAAGGCCCCGGTCACACGGCGAATTTGCCGCGGGAGAGCCATGAATGGTGGGCAGATTTTCTGGGTGCAATCACACTGCAACATCTGGCAGGCATAGCGCACCCATGGCCAACCCGTGGAGGGCCAACCTGTGGAGTGCTGCTGAAAATGCGTGGTTAAAAAATACCTGACCAAAAGTACTGGCAAATGGTTTGCCACGGGCTGGCGATAGACCCCGTCCTTGTGATCGCGCCGCCGTGGCTTTTCCCCTCCGCCCGTCTTCGTTGAAGCGCATGTGTTGAGGGACGGAACTGTGGTTTGCTGCCGCTGCATCTGATTGTGTTGTCGCGGGTCTAATTGCATCACCGCAAATAGCCATGCCCCCCCCTGCGTTTTCTGGCACGTGTGACCGGGGCCAAAATTGTTTTTCATGTCTTTCTAATAACAGGTAGGGATGGAGGTCTTTTGATCTCCATGACTGGGCTGGTTCATAAGAAAGAGCAATAGTGGACCTTGGGAAACGGAGGTTTAAATTACAGGGGTGGGGGAGGTTCTCCTTAGCATGTTCTAAAAGTACACAATCTGACTTTAGGATGTGTATGTGAATAGTCTCAGTACAACTCAGATGATAGCTGATATGTCAGATAGAAGTAGCAGTTTGGAATGAAATTTTTGCTACTCACATAAATTCACCAGAAGCCAAACAATGTATCTGGCATTTTTGCATGCAGCTCACTCCTCTTTGTGTGTGAATGAGGGCATAATTACTTATTTCTATGTATATATGAATCTAGGAGAGTTCTGGGTACTCCAGAACTCAATATCCTGTGGCTTTGCTAATGCCTGGCTTAATAAATGCTTAGCACAGGAAAGCTGGCTGAGAACACCCATGTGAAGTGTGCACTAAGAAAGCCATCCTTTCTATAGATGCTGTCTCTTGACATCACAGCTTTTTGTGATCCCTGGCTAATCTTTAATTATTCCCTTTCGCTTTCCCTGCTTGTCCTGCTTAAGAAGAGGAAGAATGGATAGAGGTGGAAGACGGTAGTAGAACATTTCATTTTCATTTCACTTTACTGTTGCTTGCCAGCAATACACGGGGTTGGCTGCTCATTGATGTTTCATGTGTAAGCCTGTGCTCTGCATCACCCTTAACAGCATTTTCTCACTACAGACTTAAACAGGTTTGACAGTCATCCCTTAGGAACCCTGGAAAGTGTAGTTCTCTGAAAAGGATCTAGGGGTCTTTCAGCACTTTACCAACTGCAATTTTCACGATTCCTTTGGAGGAGGCATAATGGTTAAAGTTGTGTAAAAACTATTTGTCTGAGAGAAGTAGCTATAATTTTCTGTACTTTTCTAGCAGAAGCTACCTCTGTAGACTGTAATAAATACTCAGTGACTACCATTGCCAAGCATTTGCCATCATTTATTACTCCACCTGGTACTTAAAATGGGATGTTGCTGAGAGACGTTTCCTTCTATAAATACTCATCTCCCCTGATTTCAATTACAATGTTCTGGGAACTCAGGCTTGCCTGGAGGCCATGATTTCTGCCTTTGAAGTTCATACCTTTAATCCAGAGGTCCCTAACTTTTTTTAACATGGAGGCACCTTTGGAATTCTGACATGGTGTGCCGGGCACAGCCACAAAATGGCTGCCATGGGAATTTTAGCCAGCCACAAAATGGCTGTCACAGCTTACCTTCAGCTTGTGAGAGCAGCTGCCAAAGCAATTTTTTTTTAAAAAAAATAAAAATAAATAAATTTATTTTTAGAAAAAATATCTGCACAGCCAATCAACTCTCCAATAGCTAATCAGAAGCCTTGCTGAGCAAAAATCCCACCTGGCCCTGTCCATTTTCTAAAAACATAGTGGGTGCTAGGAAAGGTGTTGGTGGGTGCAATGGTGCCTACAAGTACCATGGTGGGGACCCCTGCCTTAATCCAAGTTGGTTGTGGTAATTTTAACTGGTGATAAACTACTGTCCTTGGCTGAGCTCTTATGGTGCTGTTCCACTGGTGCAGCAACGGTTCCTCCATTAGAATGGCTTTCCCGTTAGAAGAGGAAGGAAAGGTGATATTTTTGCCGATCACCACCGCCCGTTGCAACTCATGCTGCTTGTTTTGGTCCACTGATGCAACAGAAGAATATTGGGGTGGGGTGTCAAAAAAGGCTCCAGTGAGATGGGGGAGGTGGGGGAGTTGCCTTCCTCTAGCATGACTCATGCTGCTTAGGACCCAAGCCCATATTTTCAAAGATGATTTCCCTGTACACTGTTCCATATACTTCAGAGCTGAGCTAAAGAAAATTCAGCCTCCATGTTTACTTGAAAAGCACATGTGAGTTTTCAGCCTTCATTAGTGAGCCCCACCCACACCATGACACTGCAGAAATATGTGAATGCAAGGGCAACCTTGAATGGCCTGAGTGGCCTAGGACCCATCATTGCCACATCATACATGTAGTTTAACAGTCTGTTCTCTACCCTTATACTTGAGTATCTAATGAGCTGCACCAGGAGTGTGGGAAGCTCCTGGACAGATGTATGCTGAGCAGCCTGCTTCTACATTTAAGAGGCCTCCTCTTGAAAAGGGATGGAGCTCATCTAAACACCCATGAAGTCATCATGAAGCAGCACTAGATGTTCCCAGAAGTTTTCCATTGTAGACAGCACCACTATGCTCTCTTTTTTCTCACTCATCTCTGTTTGAAGATTGTGGCATCTTTCCCAGTTTCTTTTCTTGTTTGGTCAACTTCCCAATGACTGGGGTCCATAGTAGCATATACAATTATGGTCAGCTTGCTATGAAACTCCTCAGATGCTAATTTCATTCTGGTCTTTTTATTCCATAGACCAAGAAGAACCAGCTGAAGACACCAAGGAAGGTGAAAGAGAAACCATAGCAGAAGGCATGTACTGATGTTCTGCTGAGGCAGCTCAAACTGATGGAAGCATTTTGATGGTGTGCCTTTTGGTGGTATGCAAGCACCTTGCGTGAGCCAAATCTTGCACCAGTAACTAAATGGGAAATACAACAGCCCGGTCCAACAATGAATTGTAATTTGGCATTCAGCTGTCGTTCTTTTTATGTGCACTATCTCTTCAAGCCTGTCTTTATATCTCTGTGTATTTGCTTGAATGTGTTTATCAGCCTGGTCAGGAGGCATATTATTGGCAATAGGAGAACAAAGTAACAAACAATATTTAGGGAGCTGGCAGAGTGTCTTTCTCCTGTTCTTCCATTTTAACAATTCCAAAGGATTATATCGCCATCTGAGAGAGCCATCAATGCCTTTGTGACATTAGTAGCTATTACACCAATCTTCACTCTTATCTCAGAAATATTTACATGTGTAGCAATTAAAGAGCATAGCGTACAATTCTTAATAGGCCTAGAAGAAAAGCGCCAAGAATGAATACGGGCATCTAAGGTGAGCAAAAAAACAGAATTTGGCCATTAATTCAGGGATAGCCTGTCTTTAAAGACATTTATTTATAAAAGTGCAAAATTTGGTGAGATGATAACGATGATGCAAGCTGATTTGTAGAGAGAGAAAAACAAAACATTTAACATTCTGTAAGGACACTATAGCTTTGTGCTTTGTTTCTGATATACTTAATGCAAGGGAACCTTTACCTTTACTTTAATGACACTATAGCTTTTTGTTTTGTTTCTGATGTCACACCAGAATCCAACCCTCAGTATCTGCCGCTGTCAACATTTAAAACAAGGAGTGCTGCTTTCTCTAGTTACCAATTCCCAGAATGCCAGCAATGTAAACCTTCCTAGTAATGAATGAATGAACTACAAAGCATGCAAGGAATTCCGTAGCACAGCTTAGAAGAAATCAACTGTTTCATTCAGTCCAGGAGTGAGGACTCAGTATAGAATTTTGTCTGCATGGTATATCTTGTCTGAAACTTCTTTTCTTCTCTTTTCAAAGCAGAACATGAGGAGCATTCTAAAGAACCAGAAGAAGGTAAATGAGAAAGTGGTTTCATGGTTGCATTATGGCCACCTTCTGAGCAAACTTTAGATTGCTAATACTCTTGGTTCTCAGGTTTACCAGGTGATTACTTTCAGGAAAGGGATAATCTAGAGTGTCCATCATCACTTAACGAGCTACAGGAGTATGCTGTATGGAAGAAAAGCACCCACACTGAAAAGATATGTGCCTTGTCATCAGTGATCCTATGAGCACCATCCAGCTGATAGCATGACTAGGAACATTACCACTCTACACACACCAAGCAAAGCAAGAATTGATTTAACCAGCAACCTAATCTGAGCAACCAAGGCAAGAATTAGAGAGAAAACATCTGCAATTTTAGTCATCTGAAGGGTCATGAGTAAAAAAGAGGATAATCTGTACATGACATTTTAATTATGATTTTTATTATTTTCATGTATAGTTTAGCAAATTGTGTTGCATGGAAAGGTGTGGGGGAAGGAGATGGAGGAATATCAAAAGGCAGAGTGCATTCAGTATGATAACAAAGAGAGATTTAAAATCTGCACTATAATTTAGCAACTGAAACCATTTCTACCCATAAAAGCAGGTGCATAGACCTCAGTGCAGGCCAGAATAAACCTAGAATGCAGTATCTCTACAGTTTGTCTCCAAGAAGAGCCATAGAAAATATTTTTGTTTCTTATCATCTTAAATCTCCACTGTGGTTTCTTGCAGGAGAATCAAAACCCAGGCCCAAGTAAGTATATGTACACCTTTGATTTTGTGTCAGAGTAAATTTATGCCGAGCACTTTCTAGTGGTACTAAGGCACAACTAGACTGCTCACATTCTTAAGTGTGCTGTTTGAACATGCTCAATATTATTCTTATAAAAAATTTTATATCTGAAAAATGAGTACACAGAATGTTCATCTATGTTTTTTTTAAAATAGCTCTGCATTAAAGTTCCTATTTTTATGACATTTGTAATAACCCATCCTTCCTCCAAAGAACTCAGAGTAGCAGTTTGGTCTCATAAAACCCCTGGGAAGTATGTTTGCCAGGGAAAGATTCACCTCTTCAAAGCCACTCTGCAAGTTTCACAGGGAATGGAACCTGAATTTCCCATCGCTAAGACAGATGCAGATAGATTCAGGTGGGTAGCCATGATGATCTGAAGCAACAGACCAAAGCTAGGGTCCAGTGATGCCTTTAAGACCAAAGGAGTTTCTGGGTATAAGCTTGAAGAAGTGTGTGCACAACATGAACATTTATACCCAGAATTAAACTTTGTTGGTTTGAAAGGTGCCACTGGACTCAAACTTTGTTCTAAGACCAATGCACTAAGCCACAAGTTCCAATACCATCCTGATATTCTCTGGCCTTGCCTTAACTTGAAAGCAAGGCAAGGGGCAGTTAGCCTGGTTTTCTTAAAGTTAATATATACAGATTTGTTTCATGGCTTTTAAACCATGCTACAATTCATGTTTTAACTAGGCAATGACCATTTTTAATGTTTACACAAACTAGACGTGATGCCCATGAACAGATTTTCCTAGCAGCACCCACGAGGGCCCCATTTGGATCAAGCTTGTGGTGTAGAGGAAGAGGTGGTTTAACCTCCTACCCCACCCCCTGCTATTATTGCCCCTGGTTGGGAAAATGACAGGCAAAGAGGAAGCAATTCTCCCCCCCACCCGACAAGGCTAATAATTGCACATGAAAGTGTGCATGCATCAGTTTTGATTTGAGAAACCACACTGTCCCCAAATCAGATCTGCTAATGTTCATTTTAGACACTGAGAAGCAAGGTGGGAGATATGATGCTCTTTGAAGGCTAAAATTCCCAGTCCAGCCTGCACAGATATGAAGTTATTACAGCTGTTCAGTTGCTCCTATAAGCAGAGTGAACAGAAATAAGACCAGCATGACAGGTGTAGCCACTGTTAAAAGCCAAGCAACTACTGTGACATTCCACCTGGCGCCCTCAGACAAGCTATAAATTGTTTCCTTGGCTTGGAACAACATTTGTGTTGACATTCAGTTTAAATAAAATTTGCACAGATAGTTCTGAGAGTAGCTAGAGTAAGTTTTGTCATTACTTTAGTAATATTAGGGGACTTATATGAAGGAAGGGGAGAGAAGTTAATATTGTATTTTTAAAATGTAAGTCACTTTGGGATTTTATGGTTGAAAAGTGAGATATAACTCAAATAAATCAGTCCTATGGTGAAACTGCTCCTGGCCTAGACTATTTCAGGCAGTAGTTGGGGAATCACATGACTGACTGCTACCCTCTTAGCCCACAGAAAACTATGGGAATCAGAGAGAAGGACCAGCCTTTACCCTGATGTACTAGTTTTCTTAATGCCAGGATTTTTCTTTCATGGGGGAGCACTCAACAGGAATTCATTGCTTACCTGCAGTCTTCAGTGGTACAGTTATAAGAACAGTTGGACAAATGCTGAGTTGGTTGTCTGGAATATTTAGCCCTGTTTATTTGGAACTTAGAAGTGGGACCCATTAAAATCAATGGAGTTATGCCTGGATTCAATCAAACTGTTTCTCCACATTCTACAGTGACTTTTGCATAAGCTCTGTATCAATAAGAAATAATTTGTCTGAATGGTCCATCTTAGGATGGACTTCATACTTGTACTTTGGGTTCTATATAGAGAGTAAACTTCCAAGTGCTTTCCTTTGTTAACTTACTTAATAAAGAACAGAGAACTGATTCTAAAATCCAACTGTGTGCAGTTATCATCTAAAAATGCAGACTGCCAACACTTTCCAGAAAGTGCAGGTAAACATCCTTACAACACTCCCCACTTACCCAACAAAGAGAAGGTTCAGAGGTGGTAGTACCTGGGTTTGTAGGAGAGAACATTAGTATCTTATGGTATTTTTAATCATTTGCCATTGACAAACAAAGCACAGGAAGAGGCAAAGAGCTACTCCTACAAAGCAGAAAATCTGCTGTCACAAATCACTAGAAGGATAGGAAAGGTTACACCAGCTCATAGCTCTCTCTGTCTGCTCTCTGTCTGTTTCCCAAACTCAAACTGCTGTCCCTGTCCCTCTTCCCGCTCCTCATACACATACTCCTTCCAGTCCCATACCTCCCCCTCCCCAGCTGGAAAGGGTCACCTTCTTCAAGTTGTCTTGGCTACTTGAATTAGGTGACCATGTCCTAATAACTATCACCTGCTGTGGAAACATTAGCCAACAATTTGGGGTCATTAACTCATCAAAGGAATGGTCAGTCAGCAGGCACAACAGCATTCCTGGATAAGCTCACATGGAAAAGTTAACTACTTTTTGTCTGCATACGCTGGGACCTTGGGATCCTCAACATGCACAGTAGCCAATGGAAAATTTGGGTTGAGTGTTATACCCGACACTGCCCTGAGGATGCTCTGTTCCTGGTAAGGATAACCAGGCCCTTTGGATGTGGAGAGGGACCTTGTTTGAGGTTGCTGGGAGAACAAAGATAATGTCAGTAAAACCCATAGAGTTAAAAAAGAGAGAGAGATGAGTATGTCAGTAAAACCCATAGAGTTAAAAAAAGAGAGAGATTTGGGTTACCAACCTCCAGGTGGTACCTGGAGAGCTCCCATTATTACTATTGATCTCCAGATGATCAAGATCAATTCCACAGGGGAAAATGGCTGCTTTGGAGGATGGACTCTATGGCGTTATACCCTGCTCAGGTCCTTCCTCTCCCCAAACCCTGCCCTCCCCTCTCTCCACCCCCCAAATTTCCACATATTTCCCAACTCAAAGCTGGCAATCATAGACAGAACAAATGCCAAGTGTGGAAATATCAACTGTTATTTCCTTCTCTAATTTCAGGCATTTTATGCCAAACTTGGTGCCTCCTAAAATCCCTGATGGCGAGAGAGTGGACTTTGATGTGAGTATTTGTTGGGTGATAGTGAGATAGTGAAAGAATGGTATTTAGCAGAGATAAGATGGTCCAGCAGTGCCAGAGTAAAATAGTCCATGTGTGATTAAAATATAAATTTTTTACTAAATTCTAGCATGGGAAGGGTAACTGGGGTGAAAATAACAACAGAGCAAAATCGACTACATCCTTACTCTACAAAGACAAAACTAGAAGAGAGAGATTATGGCTACTCTTCTTCTTCTTCAGAACACCAAACAAAGACGGGAAGAGAGCCATAAAATGCTAATACACTTTGGGCGATTTCTCACTAGAGCTGCCTCGCAGCACAGCGCCGTTTGCTTCAACACAAACATGTGAATTTCACACCCAAAGCTCCGGGGCTGCATTTTGACTCGGGGCTTTGCCCGATTTCCTCCGCAGTTTCGTGATCCTGGTTTTTGAGGATCATGAAACTGCGGAGGAAAAAAAATCAAATTCCTAGATCAGGGAGAAAATTCCTGGGTATTCTACAGCTAAAGAACATTGGTTACATGAAAAACATGTGACTTCCTGTGAGTCACATAAACAAACATTTAACCCCAGATATACTGAGTGTTTTCAACTTGTAATACCCAACAGTATTGACCAGTCTCAAAAGTGAACAAGTTCTTCCACACCAAGCATTCCATTGCAGGCTTCTTCGTAACTGAGAAAAGGGAACCAAACCTTGCCCATACCCTATTCTACCTTGCAGGACATTCACCGCAAGCGAATGGAGAAGGATCTGAACGAGCTGCAAGCCCTTATTGAGGCTCATTTTGAGAACAGGAAGAAGGAAGAGGAAGAACTGATATTCCTGAAGGACAGAATTGTATGTCAAAGAGCTCCATACCATTTCCCTGATACCATTAATGTCTAGAAGTTACTCTAAATGGTCAGGTCCAACTAGGATTGCCAAGTCTTACCTGGCTTCCAGCAGGGGGCTCCCTCTTTGTCTCCTGGATGGAAGTGATATCATTGGCAGGGCACGTTGCAAGGACATGCTCTATTGTTTGAGGAAAACTCTATGGTAACCATAGAGTTTTTTCTCAAATGATAGAGCATCCCCTCCACACACCTCTGGATGATGTCATTGTGTCAGACACATTGGCATGGACGGGGCTCTTGGGGGTGGGGTTCTCTGCTGGCTGGATCTCTGCTGGCTGGATCAGGGCTGGCAGATCGGGGCCCCTAAAAGTGGGTAAATCCCCTCCTCTGTTTTGGGACTGGCAGCCCTAGGTCCAACCCTCTGTCAGGCTGTGCTACTAAGGGTGGTAGTCAACAACCAAATGTCAAGGCCGTAACTAATTTTGCACCCATAGTAGTGTATGACCCTAAGAAAACCATCAGGATTAAGGGTCACAGAACATTTTAATTAATTAATTTATTTAATAATTTTATTGCTGCCTTTCTTCTTTATGGAGCTCATGGTGACTTCTTGTTGTTGTTCAGTTGCACAGCTGAACCTGATTCTTCGCGACCCAATGGACCACATCACACCAGGCCCTCCTGTCTTCTACTTACAAACATAGAAAAAAACACATAGGATAAATACATTAAAAACATAAACCCAAAATTTAAAATCACTGTTAAGGACTGCTACTAAACTTAACCAAATGCAGTCCTAAATAAAATTGTCTTCAATTGCCTCCTAAAGTTCAAAAGTGAGGGGGGCAGGTGCATTTCCCTGGGGAGGTTGTTCCGTAATCTGTCACTGAAAAGGCCCTGTCTTGTTTACCCACCAAATGAGTTTCTTTGATTGATGGGACAGTCAAGAAGCTCTGCCTGTGCTCTTAATTCTTGGGCAGGAACATATGGGAGAATACAGTCTTTCAGATAATCTGGTCCCAAGTAATGTAGGGCTTTAAAGTACTATTTCCAGACCTTGAGTTGGGTTCATGAGTGGATGAGTAGCCAGTGTAATTGTTGTAATATTGGGGTCACATGCTCATGCTTAGTGGCCCCAACCACCATTCCAACATTATACAGTATTTACTCAAATGTAAGATAACGTTTTTTCACTAGCTCTGGTTGTCTTACATTTGTATACAAATTACTGTTACGTCCAATAATAGGGTTTTTTTTGGCGTATGTATAACATTTTTAAGGGTGTTGTCTTGTATTTAGGGTCATCTTTCTTTCAAGTAAATACAGTAATATTGCAATCTAAAGTTGCAGATCTAAGGACATATGGGCCTTGGTCACATGGGCTGGAAAACGGGGGGGGGGAAGCGTGGCTGTTTGCCCTGGAGCAAAGTAAAGCAAAGTAAAGCATGACAACCCGATCACACGTCCCATCGAGTTCCCATGGTTAGGCCGTTAGGTGCCAATCACACGGCTATCCTGAAGTGCGGCAAAGAAGTGGCGCGGCGTGATCACACCGGCAATCACGACGCACTGCTTCCATGGCAAATGGGAATTTCCCCCCCTCACAGACGTTTGCGCATGCACCGTTGGGCAGTTGTGCGCATCCTATGGAGACTAAAAAAACAACCACCCGGTTTGCGACGGGACATGGATGGGCGCTGGATGCCACGGTATTCAAGCAGAAATGCGATCAGACCCCCGCCCCTGCCCCGCGGTTTCCGGACACTAGTGCTCTTTCTGCAGTAGTTTTTTACTCTGCATCTTCGGCGGGAAGCCACGGGTTAGCCACGGGTGCACTATGCTTCCCAGATGTTGCGGTGTGGTCATGCACCAAAAATCTGCCTGTCATTCGTGTCTTTAGCGCGGCAACTTCTCCGTGTGAACGGGGCCTTAGTTAGGAATGGTAGTTGGACTTCATTCATGTTTCACCCCCAAGTAGATTTATTAGTATTTTATTTGTTTTTTATGTGCTTAATAGGTAGGGAACTGGAAACGCTGCACATGGGCTAGCCTTTCAAAACAAGGGATGTTGCTATCAGGCATCAGATTTTGGGCCCCAGCAAGATGCTGCAATTTTGTGCTGTTTAATTAAATGTTTACTATTGGGGGAAAGGCTATCATTTTGGGATTTCTTGCTTCAGGCATCAAAATATTTTTGTCCGGCTTTCCTTAAAGCATTCATGTTTTAACATGTTTTAACATTTAACAACCTTAACCACCCCAGGCCCCACCCGCCATATTTAGAAGGGCGGGGCAGATATTAATTTGAGTATCATCAGGACTCCCCTGATCATCTGTGAGGCTTTCTTCCTACAGGAACAGCGGCGAGCAGAACGAGCTGAGCAGCAACGGATCCGTAGCGAGAAAGAAAAGGAACGACAGGCCCGTTTGGCTGTGAGTATCCACAAGACACACAGTTCTACTGGCACCCAGTAGGTAAGAGGTCCAAGTATCCCTCTTTGTCCTGTAGAAAGGAGCTGCTCTTGAGTGCTGGGAAAAGCTGACCAAAGTCCAGCAATGCAGTGTGTGCAGCTGCTTTGGGTTGAGTACATGACCTCAGGATGACTTCAAAAGGGCCAAATCCAGAATGGTTCAAGGCCCTTGAGATTTGTAATTTTTAAAAGCTTTTCAGATTGTTCAGCAAGCAAACTGTGTACATTTTGCTCAGGTCTGGACAGCATCCCAGTGTACTTAAGCCTTTGGAATGACTGGTATTGGCTTTTTGTGCTTAATGTATGAATACAAGGTAATGCCAGATAATAATTATGTTCACACTATAAACATAGCTGTATTGTTGCTGATTTTCCTGAGTGTTCCCTGCCTCCAGCTCCAGTAAAAATCAGGAAAGAAGTAATCTGGAATAGCTACTACTCTGATTAACTTTACAAATTTGCCAGAATTTGGATCCATGTAGCAGCAGCATGCCAACCTTGCCAGTTTGTTGTAGTGGTTAAGTGTGTGGACTCTAATCTGGGAGAACCGGGTTTGATTCCCCACTCCTCCACTTGCACCTGGCTGGATGACCTTGGGCAAGCCGTAGCTCTGATAAGAGCTGTTGTTGAAAAAGAGCCGTTTCTGTCAAGAGCTCTCTCAGCCCCACCTACCTCACAGGGTGTCTGTTGAAAAAGGGAAAGAGAAAGGAGTTTGTAAGCCGCTCTGAGACACCTTCGGGTAGTGAAGGGCGGGGTATAAATCCAATCTCTTCTCTTCTTCTTCTCTTCTCTGGGACTACTCTAGCCTGGGAAATCCCTGAAGATTTGGGGGTGGTTCCTGTAAAGGCGGAAATCTGGGAAGGGATTTCACTTAGAATCTACGGTGTATCATAGAAGTTGCTCCCTGAAGCTACCATTTTCTCCAAGGGAACTAATTTATCTACTCTGAAGTCCAGTTGTTATTTCAGGAGAACTCCAGGTCCCACCTGCAGGTTGGCATCCTTAGATGTTGGCATCTATTCTTCTAAACAATGGGCAGGAGAACTCCAGGTCCCACCTGGAGGTGGGCATCCTTAGATGTTGGCCTGTCTAGTAGATGTTGGCCTGTCTATGAGGTTGGCATTTGACCTCCCTGCAGATTCTTCTGGTGGTATGCCTTTTCAAAACCTCATTGTGATTGTACTCTTGGCAGGAAGAGAGAGCCCGGAAAGAAGAAGAGGAGGCTCGAAGGAGAGCTGAAGAGGATGCCAGGAAGAAAAAGGCTTTCTCTAACATGCTCCATTTTGGAGGATACCTGCTGAAGGTATCTATCCTGGCTTGGAGTTTTTGTGTGAGGTGGGAAATGTGACTAGTACAGCCTAGAATCTATATCTTGGTACAGGTTTGCTTGGGTGACTGATCATGTGTATGTGTATAGTGTGGCAGTTATGTAGGCCAAAAGATTGGAGAGAGCATTGTTCTTGAGATCTTGTTGCTTGCCTTCATTATATACGTAACTTTCCAGATTCTCACAATCCATATACATGTAACTAGGATGTTGCATGGGAATGTTCTTAACTGTAAGGCCATCAGATGCCCTAGCATATTCTAATTCCTATATACAGAGGTGTCAAACTCAATTGTTACGGGGGCTAGATCTGACATAAATGTCAGTTTATTGGGCTGGGCCATGTGTAACATAAAATGTAATGCCAGGTACTGGAAATATAAACTTTATAAAGGACACAGGCAAACCCAATTAAGCAACTGATTCCTAGCAGTGAAAGCAAAAGCCTGGCTCTCCCAGATCCCCCAACCTCCAGTTCTCATTCCTCCTGCATTTCCTACAGAAGCGGCAGGGCTGAGGGGAAGGCCTGACAGAGAGCCTGTTTCCAAAACCTCCAGTGGGTGATTCCTGTCCTCCCAAAACCCCTTTTCCCTCAATGGCTGAGAACAGAACCTGTTGCTTGCGGTCTGGATAAGAGCCCTGGACAGGCCAGTTCTGGCCCACAGGCCGTATGTTTGACACCCCTGCTGTACGAGTTCTCATGGGGGTGGGGATTTGGTTAAACTTAAACACTGGTGCTGATCATATGAATTGGGTTTTTTTAGACAGAGAAGAAAAGTGGGAAAAAACAAACGGAGCGGGAAAAGAAGAAAAAGATCCTCAGTGAGCGGCGGAAACCTCTGAACATCGATCACTTGAATGAAGATAAATTGAGGTAGGGATGTACAGGCTTCAGCAACAATTGAGGACAAAAAAGCCTTTTTTTTCCTTTCCACTTTAAGAGAATTTCCCCGGGCAGCTTACAAATTAATGAAACACAAATAATTAACCCCATAGCCAAAGCTTTTTTCAGACCCACCTGTCAACATAAGGTTGTGTCCACATGACACCATTTGGAGTTACAAATTATGTTGCCTTATGTGACAGGAGCTGTGGTGGCTCAAGTGGTTAAGACGCTGAACTGCAGGCTGTGGAAGGTCGGTTGTTCAGCAGTTCGAGACCCGAGTGTGCCGCATGACGGAGTGAGCTCCCATCTCTAGTTCCAGCTCCTGCCAACCTAGCAGTTCGAAAGCAAGAAATTGCAAGTAGATAAATAGGTACCACTTCAGTGGGAAGGTAACAGCATTCTGTGCGCCTCGGTGTTTAGTCATGCCGGCCACATGACCACAGAAACGTCTTTGGACAGCGGTGGCTCTTCGGCTTTGAAACGGAGATGAGCACCGCAACCTTAGAGTCGGATTCGACTGGCTTTCGAGCAAGGGAACCTTTACCTTTACCTATGTGACATTATGCCCTTCCAAGTAGTTTTATTCATGCTTGAATTCATTTGCAGCACTCCTTCCTGCATAGTTTTTGTTGGAAAATTGGTAAAAATAGTTAGATATTCAGAGTTTGCAATGGATCTTTGTTCACTGGAGAGGAAGCATTTCTTTCTGTGTAAAAATCTTTATTTCTAAAGGGAAGGGTACACAGTAAATCTACAAAACAACAAACACTTAAACTACATGCTTGCTGCTACTTTGCAACAACAGACAGATCAGTTGGTAATAGAGATTCCACTTTCTTCCTGACCTGAATATATTAACCAATGATTGTTAGGAAATAGGCTCCAGTTTCCCGGGCTTTCTCCCCATTGGCTTTCTGCCAGGTTCCCTTCCAGGTCATGCTAAACAATAGCACACAAGGTAAACTCATGAACCCTATAATGACTGAATGTAGACCTTCCAACACACATATTTCCAACAGTTTTAACTTCCAGGAGACCGGCAAGTGCGGCACTTACCCTAATGGCATCCTGTTGTGCGCTAATGTAGATTCCATAGAGTTTCAAGTGAATTCTAGAGCACTCCATGACCTAGCAATGTTACTTCCAGATATGTAGTTGGAAGTGATGTTGTGGCATCATGGGATGCCATTCCTCCCTCCATCCCCCCCCCCCATTAAGTGCCAGTGGTCAATGGGGGATGTGGCAGGGAAGGGGCAATGCTTACTGGTGAAGAAGAAGAGATTCTTCTCTTCACTTGGAGTCTCAGAGTGGCTTACAAGCTCCTTTCCCTTCCCTTCCCCACAACAGACACCCTGTGAGGTAGGTGGAGTTGAGAGAGCTGTTTCCAGAACTGTCCTTGAGAGAACAGCTCTGACAGAACTATGGCTTGCCCAAGGTCATCCAACAGCTGCATGTGGAGGAGTGGGGAATGAAACCCAGTTCTCCCAGATTAGAGTCCGCACACTTAACCACTGCACCAAACTGGCAGCAGGCAAATGGCAGCTCATGAAAACGTGGATGTTTAAATGGGCCACTATACATCTTAAGTGACAGGAGAGGGTATTGGCAATGCAATACTAAGCAGAGTTTAGGAGGTGTAAGTCTGCTTAGGATGGCACTGTAAGTCTCTATCTGAAACATGTCATCAAGCCCCAAGGCACTGTTAGGCTGCAATAATGGTTGCAGATAGCACACATCCAATTATCATACAAATTCTGTCCCATCACTGCCATTTCCACCTAAGGATATAAAGCAAATTGTATGTCAGACCACTAGAGGGGGCCGTGAGCACACAGAAGCAGAGTAAATTAGCAAATGAATGATGTAGAATCCAGGTTCAGGTGGCAGTAAACCCTCTGCCTCAACATTGTTTGGTTCATTTAAAACTTGCCAAAGGGCCCAGACCTGGCAAAGGGATCAGGATCAGACCTTGTGAAGTGGGAATATAAAGAACTAAAAGGTGGTACATACATTTAAAAATAGAAGAGAAAATATATGAATGGGTCGAAGAATGATTAATTGGCAGACAGGACTTTAAAGAATATTTCTGATTTAGGTACTTTCTTGTTGAACTCTTGTCACAGTGCCCTTAAAAGCCATAAATTCTAAGTATGCTCACACTCACAGGCTGATGCACATACGGACAACTATAACTACATTCATACACATACCCAGTCATATGCACACAATACACTCACACTCTTGTACACTATATGCAATTGATATGTTAAATAAGTGCAGTACACTGATCTACTTATATCATGCTGGCATATGCATATCAGACTCTTTTGTATGAGTATCATGCACACAACATGACAATGTCCACCATCTTGACTAATGCTACATGTTTTCACTTTAGGGATAAAGCTAAGGAACTGTGGCAGAGCATTCATGATCTTGAAGCTGAGAAATTTGACTTGCAAGAAAAATTCAAGCGGCAGAAATATGAGGTCAGTCTGAATGTCTTTTGGATACCTGCTCTTTTTTGGCTTCTGTTTGTGTGGAGTAGCTGAATGTCGCTGCTAAGATGAAGGGGGGGGGGAGAGAATGTGTTGTTGCCAGCATTTTCAGCTGCATTCCCACTGGCAAATATTTTCTGACATTGCACTGAAAAAAGCATAAAGTATTCATCTACTCAGAATAAAGTTAATGCTTCTTCAATGTTGATTCATTTGCATTCAGTTATGATAGCACATAGACAAATCTGATTGGCTGCAAAGTACCATGACATCGTACTGTTACCTACACAACTGCTAGTTGGCTGGGATCAGAGTGTGACAGGAAGCCCTGCACTTTCCCCCAATTTTGCGTCATTTGGCCTCACTGATCCCATCATTTAGCCAGATTTGTTTGGATGCAAAACATTGTCGTCTCATTCATTATACCATCCCCAACTGGCTGGGATTGCCCCTTTCCTAAGAGAAAAAATGACCCAGTAAGTATAAGGAAAAGAATGGCAGCAGTGCAGCAGCCGGGGGGGGGGGGGGGCAGTGGCACCAAGCAGTCTTTTAAAAAGGTGACATTTTCATCATCAGAGGTTTTCAAGAAGCTATTTTTTCTTCTGGAAGAGTTGCTTTAAATGGTCAAATATTGGATGCAGATCTACTTTCCACATTCATGAATTTTAACTTTCTTTTTAGTCCCTGCTAAAAATAAGGGCAGAGAGGCATGACTGATTTGACCTGTCTTGCCTTATCTCAGTTTAGAACCTACATCCGACACCAAAACCAATTCTTCTGAGGTGAATGAATGAGTGGAGTCATACTTCCCTTCTTCAAGTGGAAGTAGCTCTATGGAAGAAATGGCATGACATCGGTCTAGGTCTCTTGAAGCTCCAAGCTTGTGTTCTTGTGTCTGTCACAAACCCTACTATAACCTGCAGTACAGACTCGAACAAAGATGAACTGACTCAGTTCACTCTTAATAATAAATAGACCAAGGAGATCACATTTGTTTGTTTGCCTGTTGGTGCACTCATAGTTGAATTAAATACTGCCTCAGTGATCTGCGCTAGAACTGCCTCTCACTATCTGTTTAAATTCCTCATTAATTATCATAGCATATAGGTATTTCTCCAGGATACCTTAACCCTCCTGTGACAGTTCTGAGCCCTCTTTAGATTGAGTGATTACTCTAAAAGGCCAGCAGAAAGAAAGGTCTTAGTGGGAGGGAACAGACTTCTCCACCAACCCCTCAGAGTTTGCAGTCACATCCGGTAACGTCTTTAGTTATAACCAGTGTTCCCTCTAAGCTGAGTTAGTGTGAGCTAGCTCACAGTTTTTTAGCCTCCAGCTCACACATTTTTGTCTTAGCTCAGGAAGGATGGCTCCGGAGCAAACTTATTTATGCAGCAGCCAAATCACTCGCTCACAACTTTAATGCCAGCAGCTCACAAAGTAGAATTTTTGCTCACAAGACTCCACAGCTTAGAGGGAGCATCTCCCCACCTCCCTCAGGTGGGTCCACAAACAGCCTTTATGGCCAATGCCAGAGCCCCATTCCCGACAATAGGTAATAAGATGACTCAAGTCCTCCTATATTCTGGCTTCCTCCCTCCCTGTTTTTCCTTTGGCTCAGTGGTCCGCGCTGATCTACACTCACCTTCTATAATATATTTCATTTATTTATTAAAATCTTTATACCTTACCTTTCCTACTGTCCAATGGTGGCTCAGAGTGGCTAGATAATGTCACAATGTCCAAGCATTGATGAACAAGGATTAAGGTGAGCAAGGATTTTATTGCAGCTGCTGCTATTAGTTATTAAACGGTCACAAGTTATAAAGCAAGTAATGGCAAGTGCCACTCGCTTTCCTGCTTGCTTTCTAGCCTTGCTGTTACAGTCTCTTACCTCCCGTTCTGCTTCTCCTAGCGCACTTGGACCCTCAGTGCCCATAAGTCCGAGTGTGGATTTGCATTCTCAGGATCCGCACTCTCCTTCCGTTATCCTTCCCTTCCCTAGGGCTTCTTCTTTGTCCTTAATAGTCTCTTTTGTCTAACCCTGACCAGATTTCCATACTCACTGCTCGCTGCGATGAGTTAAGCAAGTAGTAAGTATGGCATGTTCTGTGCCAACAGTGAAGTGGAGTGGTGAATGCTATAGACGGATGGGTTGAGGAGACAAGTGTTCAGAGCCCTGATCTGAATATCCTCCTGTTATAGCCTGCTCAAGTGTGAATGCTGTCAGCGTCCTTCTTGGGGCAGTCTTCTGTTGTCTTGCATGCTTTTCCTGCTTGGCTTGCAATGATTTCTAGACTAAGGATTTCATTTACTGACGTTAGTGGAGCCTCCTGTTCTTCGAGCTAAACCCCTTGATACAAGTAAGTAAATGGGAACTCCTTCATAAGGAGCAAAAACCTTTTTTTGTTTTGGAATCTTACTCCAGAAGTACACGTAAGCTGGCAGTTTAACCAGAAAAGTTCATTCCTTGACATATGGATTTGCACTTGCAATCAATGCCATTATATGTGTTTGAACTTTGAAGTAGGCAGGTCTGTGCAAGGGACAAAGCACAAGCTTGAGCCACATGTGCAGTAGAAGTAGCTTTTGAAAGTAGCATCATGTCCAGGAAATGCAGTGGTCAGCTCTGCTTACTGAAGAGAAGATATCTCTGTCACTTGTGTGAAGAAGGCTCTGGCCAAGATAACCATGGGCATACACTGGGGAAACATTCTGAAAATTACACCCATGAAGAACATGCTCCATCTCAATCCCTGCACCAACTGGACTGAGTTTCTGTTCAGCCAGCTGAATTTGTATAGATCTGGGAAATGTGCCTCATGACAGGGAAGAGCTGTCTGAGTATTACATAAGTAGAAGGAAGATAGGTGGATGCAGATAGTCTCACTGTCTTTACAGGGTCTGAGTCCTACAAATTGAGAGTCTGACAGCTTACCAGAAGATGTGACATAGCCTTAAGTCTACTTTTCATGACCCATGTAGTCTGTGCTTTCTGGCCGTACATGACATCCTATCACAGCAGCCTTCTGCTTCCCACACAGTTGTAGCATCAGCACAAAGCTTCACATCCTGTCTGTTTCTCTTGCAGATTAATGTTCTTCGCAACCGTATTAGTGACCATCAGAAGGTGTAAGTACTCAGGCCAGCACCAAGCACTCCCAGTGGATCACACACCACCAACCCTTCCTGGCTCCGCTCCCTGTGACTTGCACACCTTGCTCCCTCCCTTTTGCTTTTAGGTTACAGTCTTGCCAGTCCTTCCATTCATGCATACTTTTCATGCTCTCACTTTCAAATAATGATGCTTATGCAAATGTGCACCGAGACTTGTAGTCTTGGGCTATGCTTGTCAATTGTGGAGCTTTTAGGATTGTTTATTTTGTCCGCCCCCCCCCTTCAGATTCATAGTTCACTTTCTGCCAACGTTTTCTCCTTCTTCTGCCACCTTATCCATTCTAGCAAACCCCAGCTATTAAATGATGCCAACCTGCTATGGTAGTACTCTAAGCTTTGGATCAAGCCCTTTGGCTGCCCTTGTAAATGGAAGCTGTTAGAATGTGCTGCTGTTTAATTCCCATCCTGGTACCACCTTTCTCCATTTTCTTCTTCCTTTCCTCACTTCGGCACTTGATCCAAAGCTCCTGTCCACTTACACTTTTAACACCCTTTATTTATTCCCTCTTCCCTTTTTACTGTCTCTATCTTTTCCTTTTCGCACTCCCAGCCCATCTTTTAGAATTTTCTATTTCTACCATGCTTTTCTCAGTTTTCTTCTTGAAATTCTTTTGTGTTCTTACGTTTGAACTATATTGTACAGTTTCTCCCTTCCCTTGCATACCTTTTCCTTTCCTTTTAGGTATTTTCCTCTGATCTTTGAAATCTACCATCCCCCGTCAGCATTTGATCTCCACTTAATAACATATCCCCTTAGCATATGTCATATAACATTGTGGAATTCTGCTGCAGTAGCTGAGCTACCCAAGTATCAACAAAGAGTTTTCTGAGCAGAAGTCATTCCACCTCTGAATGTTCTCATCCACTTATTAAGCTACCTGGTGTCCATCTTCATTCCTTATATGGCAGCATCTCTGTCCTGATTTTGACTTTTCTGTAAAGATTACTGGGTAAATACTCTGATTATATCACAGCCCTGTGTGGATTTTCATCATGCTCACCCCTTGATCTCCTTTAGCTGTGGCTGCAATTTCCAGTTAACATACAGAGGATAGGGGACCAGAGAGGCCGAAGAACTTGGGTAGTTCTTCAGCTATCCAGCTGAATAAACAGCTATTCAGAGCACTATAGGGACCATTTATCTGCCCAAACTGACATGAGGAGGTGATGCAGCCATCTTTTAAAGTGGCTAAGCACATGAAGGTGGTCTTTTAAACCCACCAGTGCAGGAACCAGGGGTCATTTCGTAGAAAAAGAGCTAGGGGAACTCATTAGCATAACTCATTAGCATATGCCACACCCCCTGACATCAGGGGCCCGGCGGTGGACCTGCAAGGCCAGCGGGAGTGCAAGGAAGCCCCACCAAGGCCCTCCCTGGCCCCAGGCAGGCAGGGGTGGGGAGAGGCGGGGAGGAAGCAACTTACCCTCCCTCTTCTCCTGCCTCCTCCTGGCTGAATGAGGGCTGGAAGTGGAGCGGCCGGAAGCAGGGGGCGGGGCTTCATCATGTGCCCCGCCCCCTGCACCTCACCCGGGGGAACTGCGTTCCCCCGCGTTCCCCCCCCGAAATGACCTCTGGCAGCAACAAATCTTAGTCTGCGATAGGAATGCCTCCCTCCTCAGCGATCTTTTAGAGGCTTCAATGAAATAGCTTTTATTTATACTCTGTTTCTCCTTCTCTGTCCTGGTTCCCTGCTTACCTGCTTCAGGAAAGGGTGAGTAGCATGTTGTGCTTTTTTGCTGTGCGATGGTGTATTGTGATGGCCTGCAGTGCATGCGCTGTGTATCAGGGATGGATCAGCTATCTATACCTCTGGGCTACTGTCTGTGGCTGGACAGGGACATTTTCATTAGCACCTGAATGGTGAACAAGGGCAATAGATTGTTCAGCAACAGTTCTAGATGTCAGAGATGTACTTTTTAAAACATGTGCGAGAATTTTGCTATTCACATCTTGGTCTGTGGACACTTAAACGTTAAAGTCGCATGATTCATGAAGCTTGAGAACATGTGTATCATACAGGTAAGCTGGCCAAAGAAGGGATTGATAAAAACATTGATTCCTTAATGATCAGTGGGGGAATCAAATCATATAGGAAGCTGAGGAAAAGGCAGGTGACTAATGTCAACAGATGTGGAAATGGGGGGGGGAAGCAAATATAGGAGGCTGAGGGTGATGTAGCATTTCTTTCTGCATCTGTTCAGAATGATAAATATTTGTTGTCTTGTTTCAAGAAGATCTCAGATGTAGAAACAACAGTCTCCTTCACTGAGAAACAAGCCAGATGGAATGGCTGCTCAAAGAGGGCTGGGCATTAGGCAAATATTTAGAAGAGGCTGGCTCATCAATTACTTCAGCTGATGTGAGAGCCTCAGCCAATGTAATATCTAAGTGACATCACCTACTTTCATGACAATGCATTCTTGCTTTGGAAAAGGCTACTCATTGGCTAATCCATGGTTATTGGCCAGCTGCCAAGACCACATCTCCCTTTGCTTGTGTGGAAGGCTCCTTGAAGCCTTCTTTAGTAACAGGTTGCCGTGAGCTAGTAACACTCACTGTTTAAAAGGCATGAGCAGAAGCACCCACTACGAAGACTGTTGTCTGCCACTGTTGCCTGCTACTATTAATGAGGAAGATAGGGGGAAATGGAACTGCTCTAACTGTAGAATCAAACGGCTAAGGATTGTTGGTACAGTTATTTTTGCCCTGAAGTTTTCCAGGGAGCCAGGGCTTTCTCTCTTCAGTGCTTCTGTGTTGGCTTGAGGTTTCCTCATTGGCTTTTTTGCTTCCACCCACAGTTCAAAGGCTGCCCGTGGAAAGCCGGTGGTTGGTGGCCGATGGAAGTGAGATGTGGTCCACACCCAGCCTGGATAGAAGACAGAATGGAAGTTTTCTGTTTTGGCCAGATCTTCACTGATCCCCCTAACCGGTGTGGCCCAAAGGAATGCACCAACTCTTCTAGTTTATTCAGAGCAAGCCACCTTTCCAAGGCCTCACTCTGTAGAATGTCTGTAGCTGTGTGTGCAGCACTGTCACCGCATGGAACACACTGCTGTGTGGAGACGACTGTGTCACCAATCTTAAGAATATTGTTGTGTCTGTAAATAAAGGCCAGTCCTGCAACACCACCTACCTTCTTTGTCAGATTACCTGTACAGATCCTTCACAGTTATAAGTAGAGAGTAGGGTTGCCAACTTCCCGGTGGGGCCTGGAGTTCTCCTGGAATCACAACTGATCTTTAAAGTACAGAGATCAGTTCCTCTGGAGAAAATGGCAGCCTTGGAGGGTGGGCTGTATGGCATCACATCGTCACTGAGCTCTCTTCCTCCAGAAAACTCTGCCCTCTCCGGGTACCGCCCTCAGATCTCCAGGAATTTCCCAGGCCAGAGTTGGCAACCCTAGCAAGCAGCTGTTAAAACAACTCCCTCTTTTCATCACAGTGAGCATTCAAGTTGAACAGAACAGGCAAAGATAGGATTATTTAAAATAACGAGTCTGTGGTACACATGTGGTGTCTGTGGTGCACATGTTATTTGGAGGCATATCCCAGATTTGAAAGCATGCTCTCCTAGGCCAATGTATCACAGTCTCATGGATGTCCCTTATTAGAGTGCTGGATTAATCACTCCTCACAATTTCCCATGGGGCGAGGACACTGCCTCATGGCCAGTTTCCAGGTACAAAGGTACAGAACAGCATCCTGGAGCAAAAAAACATGCAGTCTGATTTATGGATGTTTAGTTAGAAGTAAATCAGGTGCATTAAGTGGGGACTTGTTCCCTAGAATGTGGGATTTCAGTTTAAGGCTGTAAACGAAGCATATTGGGTAGGATCCAGCCTGCTTTTTTGCTCAGGCTTGCCCAATTCCCCTCTGCACTACAGCCACCCATCCTGCCTGGTTTTTGTCCATGCAAGTCCTATCCTATGACACCCATCAGACCCTTTTTGGTGGTCAAAAGGGACTCCCTCACCCTTTCTCATTTCACCAGCTGCAAACCTAGTTAGATCCAACCCATTTACCAGAAAGTGAGTTGTATTGATTAAACTCAGTGGTATAAAGCTGTATTCAAAGTTTCCCCCCAAAGACATTATAAAATAGCACTGTGAAGTAGGGTAGTATTATTATCCCATATTAAGAGGAAGAGCTTAGAATGAAAGAAAGTGGCATGCCATATCCTTGTTCCCCTAAGAATTCATAGTTCATGTGTGTATTTTAACTATTGTTGTTGCTGTTAGACATTCAGTCATGTCCAACTCTTGGCGATTCTATGGGCCAGCTCTCTCCACGTTTAACTATCTTCTGTTCTTTAGCCTCTGCCTGATTGTAAAATCAATGTCATAAATGCTTGGTAAGTTACAGGAACAAGCGGGAAGAGGAGGCCGCGATTGATAAAGGACTGCGGCTTTGATGCTGCACCAGGGACTTGTTTATTGACAGGAAAGCCAATCTCCTCTGCAGGCCAGGCCAGGCCAGGCCAGGCCAGAGAAGCCGGCAAATGCTTCCCAATTAATTGGTGGGCTTTTTGGCCTCCCGGCTGCTCCGACTGCCCTTCCCCCACCCCACCAGTTAACCAGAGTGACAGCTCCACTCCCTTGGCCGGCTTGCAAGGCTCCCCCGGTCAGCCCCCCCCCCCAATTTCCCTTTCCAAGAACTGGGCCAGTCTGGCCAAGGCCCAGTCCGGGGACGCTCGGGGCCTCCATTAAGACCCTGATGCTTGGAAAGATTGAAGGTCAAAGAAGACGGGGGCAGCAAAGGATGAGATGGTTAGACAGTGTCATAGACGCAACGAACATGGAATTGAGCCAACTTCAGAGGACGGCGGAAGACAGGAGGGCCTGCGGGATCTGGTCCATGGGGTCGCGAAGAGTAGGACTCGACTGTGCGACTGAACAACAACAACAAAGGAAGCTAAAGACATTCTCATTCAGGTTGCATGCTCATATATTTCTCTCTGTTGGAACGCACTCTGGAGGGAGGATGTGCCTATAGGAATAGTAATTAGATGCCACCAGAACTAAAACTGTGTTTCTACTTAGTCAATGAAAATCCAGCAATGTCCACCCTCCAAGAAAGATCCTACTATATGTTAACAAGAGCAAGTCTAGTAGCACCTTAGAGACCAACCAGAGACTTTTGGGGTATAAGCTTTGGAGAGTCAAAGCTCCCTTTGTCTGGAAAGCTGATACCCCAAAGATCTTGTTGATCTGTATGGTGCTCCTGGGCTCGAATCTCACTGCTCTAACTGCAGACTAACAGGGCTACCCTCTGAAATGACCATCATGTTTTGGTACCGCAACTGTACATTATTATTTTTTATTTTTCATAACTATAACTTTATAACTGCACAGCTGTGATCAAAAGAATATAAACAGATTAATGTGGAATCACTTTGGCTGCAAAGAATAAGTATACTGTTCTCTCCAGGAAAGAACTAGTTAAGGACAGATTTTAAAAATGCCAAGGCTGATACAGGAAGTGAACAGGAAAATCTAACTACCCGATTCCCTCTCCTCTCTATGACCACTGCTTCCTTGTCCCTGGGACAGGGGTAGCTGAATCCTCCCAGTCTGCCTCTGGGCCCTCTTTAAGAGGACCCCTGCCTCTCCATGAGAGTTTCCTCCAACTCTGCCCTATCATCCTGCTCCCACTTTGGCTGTGTACTTACTGTTTCCTTGATTCCTTCTGCAGTCTGGCCCCCTTACCTTTTGGACATGCCCTGGAAGCGCCTATTCAGCCTTGGTTGAGATGTTCCAGCTCTTGACTTCTGGCTGGGGCTACAAAATCTGTTTCGACCTTTCTTCCAGTTGGTTAAGTGAGTCAGGTTCCATTTCTGAACAATGGCAGCTATAAGGGGGAAAGTATGGGGGGGGTATTGGCAGTGGGAAGCCAAAGCAAGGAAAGTGAAGCCAAAGCTTCCATGTCGATGCACTGTTGCCAGTGGAAATGCCTTGGTGTTTGTAGAAGCAAGGAGAACTAGTCAGAGAATCATCTACATGTGGAAACAGCCACTGTCTGGATTCTCCATAAATACTTGAGTGAACAAATGATGCTCTGTGCTAAACTGGGGGGGGGTTAATTAATTAACGCTGGGTCTACTGCAGTGATGGCAAACCTTTTAGAGACTGAGTGCCCAAACTGCGACCCAAAACCCACTTATTTATCGCAAAGTGCCAACACGGCAATTTAACCTGAATACTGAGGTTTTAGTTTAGAAAAATCAACCAATTTTCACTTCATTTTCATCTAATCTAGCTTTCCTTATGACATGTTCTGCATATTGATTGAACAGGGGTGGAGAGGATCCAGGAAATTCTGGATCTGTTGTATACCAGGTAAATTGATGGAAAGCATTGTCAGTTAGATGTGTAGAAGAATGAACCTTGCTGGAAAAGAATCCGAACAGCTTCTGCAAAGGGAAGTTCCACCTCAACAATCTTCTAGAACTTTTTGCAGCGAAAGCAAAATATGAACATGGGTGAATAATACACAGGCATTTGGGCTGCCAGCTCCAGGCTGGAAATTGGGGGGTGGGTGGGTGGGTGGGTTTGAGGAGGGGGAGAGACCTCTGCAGGGGATAATGCCATAGAGCCCACCTTCCAAAGTGGCCATTTTCTCCAGGTGGCCTGATCTCCCTTGCCTGGGGCCACCAAGTGCCTCTCCTCCCAGACCCCTCCTTGGCTTCTCTGGCTGGGCTCCAAAACCACCTGAGCATCTGTTGGTTGGGAAGCTGACTTTGTGGGACCACTGTCCAGGCTGCTTCTGTGGCCCCTCACTCTGCACGTGCTTGGAGAGGTGCCGGGGGCCAAGGCCATCCGCCCACTACTCCTACTCCTCTTCACACCCGCCTGTGTGGTGCTGTCCTTTGGCTGCCGCCTCCTCCTCCTGTGGGGCGAGGGCGGGGAAGAGCTAAAGTGGCTCTGGCCTTTGTCGCTGAAATGTGAGTGCCTCCTCACCTGCCCACCTGCCGCTGCCTCTCTTTGCAATCTGTGCGCGGCAGCCTGGACGCGGCAGAGAGGCGGAGGCACCCCGGCGGGAGAGCGGGAAGGGGCAGCTTGGCACCAGATTGGGGCCCAGCTGGCCGGCGGTGCAGCCATGATTTGTGGCAAGAGGAAGAAGAAGTCCTGCCCGGAGCCCCCCCCCCAGCAGCAGCTGCAGGTGTCCCGGCTGGTGGGCTCGGCAAACTTTTGGCGCACCACACCTTCAAGAAGCTGGGTGAGTCGAGGAGCTGGGGTGACGGCATGCATGCCTACAGAGAGGTCTCTGAGTGCCCCCTCTGGCACGCGTGCCATAGGTTCACCACCACTGGTCTACTGGGTGCAAAGGAAACCATGCACTGACCTACATTTATCTCAGTTTGACACAAGGTGGAGCCTTGCATTTGTCTCTGACTTTACCTTCCATGGCCACACCCAGTGTGTATCATAGCAGCCACACCAATCTCATGGAATTGTTCAGCCCAAGTCAGCGTGCATTCCATGTCTCAGCCCATTGGGATAGCTGAGTCAAATAGCTGAGTCAGGGAGTGGGGAAGCAGAGAGCATCTACAAAGTCTCACAAACAGTACCCTGCAGAGCCTGCCCAAGCAGCTGCCCCTGATTCTCCCTAGAGCTAAGATGACACCGACTTGGAAGCAGTAAGCATTGACTATCTAGCCAGCTGGGGGCCAGCCCAAGACTGATTTTGGTCATATCCATCATATGCGACTTGTCAGTGTTTGCTCAGACTAAACAGGCAATCAGAAATCATAAGCAGTACATTTAGTGCCATCTCCCACACTTTAAAGCTGAGAAATTAGAGAGCACATGGGGGGGGGGGGAAACCCTGGAAGAATGTGTTGAGGCCTAGAAAAGTAGTTCTGTAAGCAGCCTCTTCAGTGATCTCTGTGCTGGAAACATTCCTGGTGCGTGCATCTGAATAGGTGCTTGAAGGTGAAGTCTGCCAAGTAACTTTGATGGCCATTTTGGTTCTCCTCCTGTAACCCTCTGAAGATTTTTGTCTAAGTGGATGGAAGGCACAGTATCCTGGCATGGTAAGAAAGAAGGCTTTGCCGAAAGTGGTGATGACATTGTTACCAGTGTAAAAGAATGTCTGTGAAGCTATCCCATATAGAAAAAAAGTTGC